TGTCTTGTTTATTTTCTTGTACGAGCTGCCACTGTTGCAGGTTTTTTTGCAACTGCTGTTGTCTCTCTTCTTGTTTACTTTCTCGTTCTTCTAGTTTCTTTTGCTGTTCTTGTATTGCTGCCATCAAATCTGCTAAGCTGTAGTTTGATTTGCCGCTTCTCGTTTCCATCTTCTCTTTTTCTTCTTTTTTTTCTTATCTATATCCCACTTTCTGACACCAGTTTGTCACGTCTCCGTTCGTTACTTAATTTTCCGTAACTTCGTTCCGACGAAACTTTAGCGACACAAGTCCTTTCTTAAATAAAACTGGTTTATTCTTTCCGAATACAACTTTACTGATACACTTAATTTCAACAGTCGTTCTATAACAAACGCTAGAACGTCTCACGTGCTCGTGCTCGACAATACTCAATTACACACTCTCTGACTGCAGTTCAATTGCTCATTACCTACACATTGTCCCGTCACGTTGTGACCATCTTATATATACCAGTCTACCCCCAATCTAGTAATCTCCCGACAATTCATGAAGGTTCGAGAAAGAAGTGGCGTGATACTAGTCACGTGACCTCGCTGTCGCAATAATATGTTGCCATCTCAGTATAAACATTATTGCAATGATAATGTAGAACTCCTTTGATTCAAGGATCCCAAATTAGCAACAAATTTGCAATAAAACTCATTTTAATAATATGAAGGGTAATTATATCTAAGCACTCTATAAACCGATAAGAACAGATACATTAATTTGAACATAACGAATAATCAAATCCTCGTTAGCTCAGTGGTATGTATTAAGCTTACAATGCTAAAATTTGGGTCTCGATGCCCACGGTGGGAAGGACACGGATATTCTATTGTGCTTAATGACAAACAAATGTTATTTGAAATTACCGAATTATTCTTAAACATTAATTAACAATAAGTTACTACATATGGCTCTTCAGAACTTAGCAAAACTAATTTAGCTTACATTTTAAACTCACATAAAATGTAATTAAACAAACATTTCTTTCTGTAAATGGCAATTTTTTTGTGTTATACAAAATTAATCTTTAACTTTTTTCACTTTCAAACAGATTCACTTCTATTTATATAATAATGTCAGCATAATCAAGTTGTTGTTGTTTATTTCATCAGCATCTTCGGTTAAAGTAAATAAATAAAAAACATTTTCATGGAATATTTAACAATACACTGATAGACCCTTAAATAGTTAACATACCAGCGTTTGATATTGGAAGAAAATATATGTCATCTTTCACGTGCCCTCATTATCCTGTGTTTAGATCGTGGATTTGTAATTTTCGAGACGGGAATATCCTTTGTACTTAATGTCATTGAAAACTCAGGGAAAAATGGATCAACTTAGAGAACCCCGACCACCTGGATAGAAACTTGGAACAAGTCCTACTCCAGCAGTGGTAAATGAAGAGTGGCATCCTCTAACAGATGAGAATCGACAAGCAAAGATATCAGTGGCAAAAACTGTCCATGTTTCCAAAGCAATAGTATGTAACTATAATCAAATAGGATTTCCGTCTATAAAAGTGACTCAAATTCTATGTACACAAGCTGCTTCAAAGACATATCTATTTAACTATTGCCTGCATCAAGCAGTTGGAGAATGAAAAGGATATTCATGCTATTTGTTACGTAGATATACCGGAAAAGTTACGGAACGCAGCACCTATGGATTTTTGTGCGATCGGATTGTTGAAGCGGGTGTTGAGAAACCGTTGTTCTCGTATACTAGCTAAATTGTGGAAAGCATAGAGGCGGAGTGTGCTTGGTACATGATAGCCTTACGACGGGCCTTTGCTAGTGAGACTAGAGTACAGGGCTACTGTCAGAACACACAATCGTCAGATAGAGAACGCTGTTACATGGGCTATAACACTGTAGTGAAAATCGTTTTATTATAACGTACTAATCCTCTATGTATAAGTTTAATTTTAAAGAATTTGTGAACTACAAATCTGATTTCTGAGATGAGAAGTAAGCTCACCATAGTGAAATAAACATTACATGTTAAAAATGTTATCCAAGTTAAGAACAAATTTGTTTCTCTAAATATTCTCTACGGCTTTCAGGTTGACTCACCATATTTTCCTGTCACTTTAGAATACACACGAACAGCAAAAACCTAATATTTATGTGTATTATTAAAGTTATTTATTTTGATTTCAATATAAGAGAGACGTGTTAATAATATACAAATCTGTATCACAGCCCTCCAGTTCAATAGTTATTGCTATGAAACCACAAATTTAAAATAAACTTTATTATTTATACATTTTCATAAACATAATATAAATACAGTGGCCATAAAATTAATAATTTTCAATGATTAGTAAGGTGAAATGTAAGTTTTGTGCCATTAGGTCAAAGTTTAGAAGACTAAGTTCTGGTATATACGTGATAAACTTATAAGAAGGCCGAATAAATCAGAGCCGAATCAGAACTGCCTGAGCATGTGGTTAAAAAGCAGTTTCGATTTTTGAACTCTTATTTGTCCCATAAGCACGTGCGAGGGTTTTTTCCAAATGTCTCAGATTTTTTTTATTTTTACGACTTAAATATATCAGACAAATACGTTAGCAAAGTATATATATATATATACAGGATACTATGCGTAACATATTTAAAAAATTACTAAATTCAAATCTTGTTCTATTACCGATGTCTCTTTCTACCGTTTCCATCATGGATAAAATCATTTATCTAAAGCTCGTGCGACTCCCTCTCTCAACGTTTTTCACACACCAAATAAATAATAAAATTCAACATGAATTAATATTTAGATAACTATTCAAGTTCACGCTCATTGTATGTTCATGAGCTATTGTAAATAGACTTACAAGATGATTACTTTAAAATCTATGATCGTACACTGACTAGTTTAACGAATATATGCCACATGGACCATTGACCGCCATCATGCGCACACGCATTACACAGAGACCTAACTTATGCGCAAACGCATGGGATAACAAAATAATTTTTGTGAAAGCTGTGAGTCACGTATTTTTATTGGTAGGATCGTCAACTTTATGTGTCGAGAACGTTCAATTCAATTACATAAGAATGAGAAGAGACACTTTTATATGAGGTGCAAGGATTTTTGTCAGGTACAAATGTTAATATGTTATTAATGTAACATCGTTTATCAACTGATAAAGACAATGTTTCCCGACAGAATAATTTGGATACCGTTATGGCGGCGAGAGAAAGTGACCAATCAGCAAGAACCTTAGTAAATGAATGTTGACGACGGCATTACCTCTTCTTATTCCAGTTTAGCGTGAGTCGAGTTCCATAGAGCTTTGCTGAATTTGTAGTTTATGCTCTTGGTAAGATATTTTAATGATTAATATATATTCATTTGAAATTTTCTTTTAGTTTAACATCTGAGCAATTACTGATTAAATTCATATAATTGAACTTGTTAATGTTTTATCGTCGTTGTCAGCAATTTAGTCACGTGATCAAGCATGGCGAAAATGGCGGCTTCTGAAGTTTTTCAAGATGGATAGTTTTAGAGCAAATCAGGTGTCAGAAGTAAACATCACGTAACATCGTGTAGATTAAAGTAATTAGATTTTACTTTGTAAGCTTTTAAACTACTAAGAATGTCTGGAAGAGGAAGAAGAGGACGTGGGAGACCACCCAAAAGTGTTAGTCTTTCAAGACGAACGCAGAAAAAGCCAAGATATTTATATGCAGGGTCAGGCGGTCCAAATTCGCGCCTTTCAATTTCAGACCGAACCGATGAAAACAGTTCGTCTGGAGCCCACGTGCGTTATAAAAGTCGTTTACGTGAAAAAGCTGCTGAAAGAAGTCATAACTTTTTTGAAGACTGTAATGGATGATGATTATGATGGTGACTCAGATTTTGGTATGTTGTCTAGTGAAAGTGAATATGAAAAAGATGAAATAGAAGCTGTTGAATCAGATGAATCATATGAATCTGACAATCAAAGTGTACTCTCACAAAGTAGTTTTAGTACAATTTCTAGTACACCAGTTAAACGAAAGTGGGTACGCAGACCTCGAAGTCCAGTTTTTCTTCAAGAACGTGAAAAGCCACCTCTGGAACTTCCAAAATCATCCGAAGATCTGTTACTTCCAAATGAACATTTGATGTCAGGTTTGGGAGTGTATGAGGTTTTACGACATTTTAGGAATATCTTACGGCTTACTGGTTTTCGATTTGAAGACTTTTGTGCAGCTTTAATGTCAGATGAACAAAGTGCACTAATATCAGACATTCACATCATGCTTTTGAAGGCAATTTTACGTGAAGAAGAAGCCACAAGCACAATGTTTGGTCCTCAGGACCAACGTGATAGTATGAACATTCATTTCTATATAATTGATGGTATGACATGGCCAGAGGTTCTTCGAATGTATCTCCAAAGTGATGAAGAGTATAGATATGTGCTTGATATCTTTCAAAATTGTGAATACCCTTTCACCAATGTTTCTAACAAACTTAGAGTGCTGCAATTTTTGTGTGACCAGTTTCTTACAACATATCAAGCAAAAGAAGAAATTACAAGCGAAGGATTGATTAGACATGATGATCACTGTAGAGTCTGTCATAAACTTGGTGATCTCTTGTGTTGTGAGAACTGCCCTGCTGTATATCATCTTGCCTGTATTGACCCCCCATTAGAAGAAGTTCCATCTGAAGATTGGGTGTGTGACATTTGCAAAAGCAATGAGGTAAGATTTTAATCTGAAAACTGTATTTTTGAATATGTACAGTACATAGTTTTTTTGTTGTTTTTTTGCAATTTGCCTTGGAGGTAAAAATAAAATATATTCAGTAATTTATAGAAGGATATTTAACCCTATTAAATTTAAAAGTGCATTTTCAGAATTCTCACGCATTCAGTGTCAATTGTTCTAAACTTGCTAGTTCTTTATTTGTAGAAACCAATTTAAACAAAAATACCCAATTACCTAAAATTGAGAAAACTTTAAAATCTGTTACTTTTATCTTTTCAAATGAAATAAAAATATTTATTTCTCAGTGAATAATTTTAAATAACAACAATATTGATAAAGTTCAAGAAAGTGATTTTTTAGTTGTAAAGTGAACTATGCTGGAATATTTTCAAAGAAAAAGTTTGAAAAATTGACAAAGCTATTGGAGACTGTAAGTTATTGATGCTAAATAGCAAAATGAAAGTTATCAAAAATATTGAGCCTTTTAAAGATGCCATTGTATTGTGAGTTCAAAAAGGTGCTTTAAAAATTTTCCCTACCTTTGATTGTAACAAAATGCTATATCGTTAAGGTTAGGAACAGAAAATTAAAGTTGAGAAGAATCCTCTTAAATTTCTGGCCTGAAAAAGTGCATTCTAGAATACTAAAGAAAACAAAGTCAAGTGTAAAAATAAAACATTTCAGTTGTGTACCAGATAAAAAGGTGCCATTACCTTTTTAAGTAATATATATGCCACCAAAAATTAGTTGGACTTGTTGAATGTTTTATTATGACTCGCAGCAGTAAAGAGTATTTAATGCTGTGATACTAAGCAGAAAAAGAAAATGATTGGTTCCCAATCGAGTTGAATATTCATTAAAGTTGGTCTTACAAGCAATGGACGTGGATTGAATATAAAATCTCATTGTAGATTAGACTCCCTCTCAAATAAGACAAAAATTCCTTCATGGGTATTTAGAATTTATCATGTGTATGAATGTGACACAGTTAACAACGTATATGAAACATTAGTTTTAATGAAAGTAAATTTTTATTGACTTTGAATTCTTTACTGTAAATTGTCTAAACTGATAGAACAATGAGGCTTTTTATTCACTTTTTACACATTTCTAACTTGAAATGTCCATTATAGATTAACTAAGGGAAATTTAAAGAATAATATTTCAAAGTAAATGTGTTTTTAAACATTTGTACAGAAATTAATTCTTTTTATGAGAAAAAACTATTGATGCTTAATGTAGTATATGTGATTGCAACCTTGTTATAAAAGGAGCAGATAAAGAAATTCATCAGTGTAAAAAGGTAGTTTTATGTGGGTGTTTTTAGATAAGCTACTAATTATATGTAGAACGATTTAAACCTGTACAGTCATATTATACATTAGTCTAATTACTGTAAAGTACAATCAGATACTGTAACAAAATGCTTGAAATCTGTTGCAACTTGAAATGTTTTTTCATATTCCAAAGGATTTTAGCAATTATGGTGTACCTGAGGCATGGCAATTTTAAAAGGTTTGGTTGTAAAGGAAATATAAGAACCTGAAAAAAGGCAAAGAAACAAAAGCTATTTATTCAAAATATTACTCTTCATACTTAGAATTCAAACTAATTACATAACACATCAAACAGACCATTCTACAAGTTATATTTATAACTAACCAACAACAAAAAAAATTCTATTGAAGAACAACTTTAAATGGATATTTTCAAAGCATAATATATTATCCCTACTATTCAACTTAGTATTTCCAACTCTTTTCCATTTCATCAATTAAGTTGTACAAAGATTGGCCAAACTACTAACAATTTGTAACAGCTAAATTTAAGTCGTACTTACTCCAGATAGCCTTCCCTTGTAGAAACCAGGTGCTTTTTTATTAGGCTGTCTTTGCACTCTTTCCAACAAATTGATAATTTTCTAGTAAAGGTACTAAAATTGTAGAATATGCTCCAAATTAGGCCTGATCAGTTTTCAGGAAAACCACATTAATCTTCTTGTTCTTGAATATGAAATACCTATAAATAGAATCAAGGACTGCTGTTTTCACCACAGCTATATGCACTGAAGGTTTTACTGACAATCAAACTTCTGTTTTTCTTTCCACAACAAATGTGTTCCTCTCAAATAAGAAACAAATCCTTTCCAAATGCATAATTTTACCCTCTGAATTATTAACTGATTTTATACATTTTGACCCATTCACTGAGGCTATGAAGGTCTGTATGCATTAGACAAGAATTGACAGAATCAGCTATACCCATAATTATAGTATATCAAGTAACCACTTTACAACATTTTAGTATCATCAGCAAGTATAGAAATATTAAAAATATATGATATTCATCTCTAAAATCAACCTCTGTTTTTTATTTTACTCTATAAAATTGTTGCATGTCAATAAGAATTATGTTCCCACCATGGGCTTCTATATACCTTCAAATGTAACACTTCTAGTACTACACTTATTACTGCATTTGACCAAAGTTACTAGCATAAATAATAGTGATTGTGAAAAGTAACATCAGTATGATATCTAATACTGAAGGTCTTAGGTTTTTGTGTCTTAATTCTATCTCTACTTCAAAAGTTCATGTATGGTTGATATGAATTTTTATTTTTTTATCTTGTGAAACCCTAGTTGACAATGAAAACACCATAGGTTACATTAATAAAATATAAATGTTATGTTAAATGATATATAGGGTTCAACATGTCAAGACAGCAGAAATGACAGCTATAAGGTAGATCACAACAACCTTAAACTTTCTCAAACTGTTGGTCACTTTAATAAAAAAAATTATTTGCTTTACATATATATATATGTATATTATCTGTATATTTTCATGTAGTCAGTCATGAAGTATTTTTTGCAAAGTTAAGAGTACCTTACAACAGTTTGCAATGTTTTGCAACACTATATTGTGTAACTAGGATAAATGCACAATAATGAATCTGATCTCATACTTAGACCTAAAAAAGTTGTGTGGCTGTAATATATCTCTGTTGGGTACTTGTTGTGTTTCTTCTAAACCTTTTTGTATGGAGATATTTAATGACAAACAGATTGTCAGTCCATAGAAATTAGCACTGTTTATGGGATGTGGTAACACATAACCTAGAATTTATATAAGACTATATGTTTATGCAATTAATATTATTAACCTTTTGACAATGGCTGCTTTAAATGCATGTGGAATTTTTGCAACCTGTACAATGTATACAGCACACTCGCATTCAACTGCAACAAATCAGCAGTCTGGGTTAATTCTACTTTAAGACTGAACATAAAGAGATTGAGCTTACACCTCTGTAATTTCTATATTTCTGTGCTTAACATCTTTTTTAATATTCAAATACATGTGGTTATCATTGTTCACTTCTAATTGATGTATTATTTGAAACTGAAGAAAACTTTAACATTGTGCAGTGTAACAGGAATACAGGCTGGTTTTCATTAAATCAGTAACTGTACATCGTTACATCATCCTTAATCACTAACCACTGCTATATCTTCTGGAATAGGAAGATGCTGCTCAACCACAGTTTAACTCTATTAAGTTTTGTCCTCATTTCCTATAAATTTCCACATACACACATTTGTTTAATCTTTTAATATTTGTCTTATCTGAGCATCTCCCAATTTTCTTCTCTTTCTACCATTCTTTTACAATACCTCAAAAAAAGTACACATTTTAATGAGGCCCAAAAAAAGTACAAAATCTGGTGATTACCAGATAAAGAATACATTTACTTAAAGACAAATGGTGAAAGTATATGTTCTCATAATCCCTTTTCACACCACATGTAGACTCCATGTTTACTGATAATAGTCTGTATTCAGACTTGCATATTGTTCATCACTTCAGGGAATGTTTGTAGGAGGATATTCTGAATCCCGATGGATATTGTCTTTGAGCTCATTAATAGTCCGAGGCTAGGGTTAGCATAAAATCTTTTAAATAATCCCATAAAAAAGACATCTTGAGGGGGACAAATCAGGTGAATATGGAGACCATTCCACATCCTCACAAAGAGAAATTAGTCATTGTTAGCCAGGTCAACTGTCATCAGATGATGGAAGAATTTTACCTTCCTGAACTATGCAAACAGTTTAAGTGAAGAAATGAAAATATTCACATGAGAACACAGTGGTTCTAGCAGGATGGGTCAACTCCTCATACAGCCAGGGAAACAAGGTGTAACCTTTTTGAAATTATTCTAACTGATTGATTTCTGTCCATTATTCTTAATGGTTTTGGAAAACAAAGGAATAAAGATCAGTGTAGGACAGCAGGACCAATTGGAAAGAGATTTACAACAATTTGTACCCTAGCCATCATAAGCAAATTGTAGTATCTTATATAAGGTGAATATCCACAACAGGAAGGTCAGTGGCAAAAGCCATCCAGATACTCCAGGCAATAGTATACAGCATAATCAAGAAAGACCTTCATTTGGGAAAATGACATAATTCTGATATACATAGGTTGTTTCTAAGACACATCTGTCCAACTATCCTATCCCTCAAGCAGTTGGAGAGTAAAACAGATATTACATAGAAAGATGTACCAGTCAAGTCACCAAATGTAGTGCCTATAGATTTTTGTGTGATCAGCCTGATTGGAACAGGTTCTGGAAAAGTGTTGTTCTTGTACACTAAATGGGTTATGGAAAGCTTGCAAGTAGGTATGGTATGCTTTCGACATTACAAGAACTAAAATGGAGCCTTTTGCAATGGAATCTGTGCTGCTTGCTTTTATCAAGATGCTCTGTCATCAAATAGAACATGATCAGATGCGAAGACATGGACTATAACAACATGATGAGGCTACAAAATAATATTAATGCAACATATTCAATGTATGTACAAACATTACTGTTGAACATTTAATTTATAATCTATTTTACAATGAATATAGACTCTATTAATCTATTGAAAACATGAATCTTAGAATAACCATATGTTAATCCCGGGTAGGTTAAAATGCAC